CGGGCCTTCCGGCCGTCGTGCGCTCTTGTGCTGCGGCCTCTTGCACGGCTGCATGCGATTAACGGGCTGCAGTGTTTGAAGGGTAAATAATCCGTATCTTTCCCTCAGCATTACTTCCTTGGCAAAGATCCCACTTACACTGGCTCTACTTGTTCATTTTTAGAATAGTCAGAAATCCTGCAGAGAAAATGACACCGTTTCTCACAACATAGGAGACCAACCTCCTTCCACGGAAGTGAGCAAGGCAGACCTTTGGTGACATTCACACCCTTGATTATGCGAGCTGACAGTCGGGAAAGTTGGTTAGTGATCCGGACACTGCTTCAGAGGGGATCAGATTGATAAAGGTGAGAAATATGGATGTTTGTTTGTCAGTGTGCTGCATCACAGAGCAGGGGCAGGTACCAGCTTTGTCTCCCTGGAGTGGCAGTCCCCCTGCCCGCAGTGTGCCCCTGTCAAATCTATGACTGAACCAACAGTTAGAACTTCCTTTTTCATGCTTAAACACCATCTATCCCTCTGTCTTACAGCCTCATTCCAGAAGAAAATAATTATCAGGGGTGGTTATTTTCAGTTTCTTTCCACCCTTGTGTTTAGTTCCATCTTTTTCATATCCATTTGTTGCCTTCATCTCTTCTTTTCCTCTTACCTAATCTGTGAGTATGAGCAATTTAAGAGTCAGTAAGTAGGTTCAGAGCCTGCTAAAGAAGAGGATGATCTTGGAGTCATTCAGGAGAGATTAAGTTCTTTTTTTAAAATGGCACACATCTATTTCAGCATGGATGAAAGTAAAACCTTACATATTCACTGGGAAAGGTACATTCTCTTTCCCAGTTACACAAAGGATTAAGCAAATGCATTGATCGGATGAGACATGCAAGCAAAGTATTTCTGAGATAAATTTTAGAAGTACTTATATAAGTATATTGAGTATTCTTGATAAGTTAATACTTGTTAATATAGAGAAAGACATACTTGATATTTTGGGTTTTATAGTGTCTTCCATCCAACTATATTCTAAAATATCTCTAAATAATTTAAGAATATATTTTGGATTTTTAGAGTACATGTGTGGAAGATGTTAAGGGAATTAGGAGTCTCTTCTTGGCAGCTAACTAGACACAGAAAGCTCAGCTGTTTTTCTGTTCCTTAAAGATCTAGAAAGTAATTTTCCAGGTAAAATTCTGGAACACTGGAGCAATACAGTATGCTGCAGTTACTTTAGGAGGATAAAATGATGATGCGTCAGAGATCCAAACAACAGCATGAAGCCCTATCCTACTTCATACACTTGCTAGTAATATTGGAACTTAGGCCAGTAAAATAACTGAACCACACTGAAAGAGACTAGAAAACCAAAAGCACTAGCCTTGAAACAAATCTCTCTCTTACCAACTCACCCACACACATAAGCAGATCTGAAATTCTGCCCCTTAGAGGCACTAGTATAGAAGTAATATGTGATTTAAGAGAACGCACACTGTACTGCATAACTTTATGATGTTACATTAAATTGTCTCAACTTACTGGTAGGTAAAATAGAACATTGTGCAGCTACTTCTGCATATATCATTCTTGCCATCAACTCTTTCAGTTTAAAGCCATTACGCCTTGTCCTGTCACTATATGCCCTTGTAAAAAGTCCCTCTCCAGCTTTCTTGTAGCCCACCTTCAGGTACTGGAAGGCTGCTGTAAGGTCTCCCCAGAACTTTCTCTTCTCCAGGCTGAATCATTTCAACTCTTTCAGCCTGTCTTCATTGGAGAGGTGTTCCAGCCCTCTCATCTTTGTAGCCCTCCTCTGGACTTGGTCCAACAGGTCCATGTCCTTCTTTTGTTGGGAGTCCCAGAGCTGAAGCAGTGTACTCCAGGTGGGGTCTCACCGGAGCAGAGTAGAGGGGTAGAATCGCCTCCCTCGACCTGCTGGCCATGCTTCTTTTGATGCAGCCCAGGCTACGTTTGGCTTTCTGGGCTGCCAGCGCACATTGTCAAGTCATGCTGAGCTTCTCCTCAACCAACACCCCCAAGTCCTTCTCCTTAGGGCTGCTCTCAATCTATTCTCCACCCAGCTTGTATTTGTACTTGGGATTGCCCTGACCCAAGTACAGGACCTTGCACCTTATGCTTTAGTTAGATCACTAGCAGACTCCTTAAAACTCAGAGGAAGAAAGTTCTTATGATTAACAACTGAAAAAATGTAATTCTTAACAGGAATTACAGGATTCATCTACCTATTTACTTTCGGGTGGAAAGCTCCCAACAACTTTCCAACATCAATACTTAGCAGCATCATAAAAAATTACCATGGATCAGGGCACACTTCCAGTAAAATCCGTGGAATTTTTGGTATTGACTTGAAGCCAGCAGTGAACCATAGTTGCATGTTTTACAAAACAGAAATATTCTATCATAGAGTCATCACAGAATCATTTAGGTTGGAAAAGACCCTTAAGATCATTGACTCCAACCGTAAACCTAACACTACCAAGTCTACCGCTAGACCTTGTCCCTAAGCACCCCATCTACATGTCTTTTAAATACCTCCAGGGATGGGCACTCAACCATTTCCCTGGGCAGCCTGTTCCAATGCTTGACAACCCTTTCAGTGAAGAATTTTTCCCTAATATCTAATCTAAACCTCCCCTGGTGCAACTTGAGGCTATTTCCTCTTGTCCTATTGCTTGTCACTTGGGAGAAGAGACCGACCTGCCCCTGGCTCTCCCTTCCTGTCAGGCAGTTGTAGGGAGCGATGAGGGCTCCCCTCAGCCTCCTCTGCTCCAGGCTGAACCCCCCCAGCGCCCCCACA